TTGTATTTCAGTCTTTGAGTACACTGTGTGTGTGTGTGTGTGTGTGTGTGTGTGTGCGCACGCGCGCTGCTAAAGGACTCGATCCAGGGCTTCACACATGCTAGGAAAGTGGTCTGTCACTGAGCTATAGCTTCAGTAAGTACACAGTGCACTTCTGCTGCATATCAGAGCACAGTGGTGGCCCCAAGGAAAAACACTTCAGGGACTGTTTGAATTGTAAACTGAATGAACTGCTGTTTTGAAAGGATGAGTTGACGGTAAAAAGTAGAAGAAATGTAAGGACCAGTGTCGGAGGGTTTTGTGACCATATTAATAAGCTTAGGTGACCCGCTGCAGCCTGCCTTTCTCAGTCTTCAATCTTCCTCACACAAGCCCTTTACCCCTGCCCACTGTTCTGTAAGCACACACTCCTTTCTGCCTTCTCTGTCCTTCTTCTTGTTATTCCTTCCAGGAAATGCAGTGCAGCCCTGAAGCTGCTTGTGATCCCAGAATCAGCAGAGGGAAAGATGGGCCTGAATCTAGACCTTTGGCCCGCGGGACTCTCCTTGTCCCAGCCCTGCTTGAAGGCTGCTGTGAATCACCCCGCTGGCTCCAAGTAAGCCTGACTACCAGCTCCACTGCAGTCTGCATGAGGCTGCCCAGCCTTCCTCTCCACAGGACTCCAGAGAGAGAACACCTTAGCCCTGTGGAATCTTACTGTCCTCTGAGCCAATCCCTATGGAGCTCCTAGCATCTCTGGTGTGCTAAATTTGACCATCTTCCTCTTGAGTGCATCCTTTCCTCGTCCCCTGTATAGTAATGATGACATCGGAAACCACATCAACCAACTACCAGAGCAGACAGAAGAATATAGGCTTGTACCTCACGGCCAGTCTTTGGTTTGTAGCTCATTTTCCATAATACAACAAAACACAGACTACAAAGATACCTCAGAGCAAAAAGAAACTTCTGATAGATGAGACTTTAGAATAGTATAACCATGAAGATATGGCATTTGTGCCCTTGTATTTATGGAAGCTAGAGCTGTGCTGCCCAGCATTTGGACAGGACATGGGAGGAAATAATAGTGTCCAGCACACCTGTGTAAACAGTGCCCATGATCACTGGAGGGACTGATGAGGCATCAGCATCCCATCCCTTGCACATCAGGACGGAAGCTGTGCACCAAGGTGTGTAAACAACAGCATTCTCAGTGGTTCCTGGCTGACTTTTATTGGCTACACCTTCCTGCCTTTTCCAACATCAATGTTTAATTATAGTAAATGATTAAAAGCTTGAATTCTGGGCCAGACTGTCTAGATTGAAATCCCAGTCTGTTACTAGCTATGTGACCATGGACAAATCATTTTACCTCCTTGTACCTGAGTTTCTTCATCTGCAAGATGTGGGCAGTAACTGCTTACCTCAGAGCTATGAAATCAAACAAGGGCTGTATGTAGAGTGTAGTGTCTGTCAAGCACCTCCAGCATTACCTCACGTGCAGTGAGCCCCACAAAAGATGTGCACTGTCAGTCTTCCTAATGGGAGTGGGCCACATGCCATGCTTCCTCTTCAAAGTCATGAACACTCTGGTCAGTCTCCCCAGCCCCTGCACATTGCCTCCTCCCCTCTCTCCCATGGCTTAGTCTTGGCCTCTTCCTAAGAGTGTCTGTCCTATTTCTTACAGTTTCTCAGCTTTCCTTCTTTGTGTTTGGGCCTTGCGCACGACGCTAGCACTCCACCACTGAGCCATAGCCCCAGTCCTTCAGTTTCCTTTTCATTGTCTCAGCTCTTCATCGGATGCCTGAGGAGGCAGCTGATTCAGTGGCTTCAATCGCCACTGTTCCTGCTCTAAAAGGCCTTCTGGCTGAAGGAAGTGCCCAGACAGGCTGGGACCTTGACAGAATTTGAGAGTGGGTGGGTGGAGGGAGCCGGAGCCATTTGCAGAGCTGAGTTAGTCAGAAGACCTTCTTCAGTAGCACGATCCAGGTGTGACCACATGGACTCTGTCAAAGTATGGAGTGGGCACGTGGCAGCTTGGGTAGTGTGCCTCGTCAGGCTTATGGAGATCAACACAGTTCTTTCAGAAGGTGGGCCTTGAGGTCACCTGCTGGAGAGAGCAGTGTTGGTTGCTCTTGTGGTTCTCCCCAGCCCCTTGGGACTCCTCTGCCCCTCCTCACCTCTCTGAATTCTCTAGGCCACTCCCTGTGCAGGTGCCAGGTTGTGAGTCTTGGATCAGTATCCTGACATCTGCTACACTTCCTGTACAGTCAGACTTGTTGGCTAACGGGTTTCACAAAGAAACAAAAACATGCACCCCTGTTCTATCAGAGAAAACAAACATATGCCTAAGAATAGAAATATTAGCTGTTATTGATGGTACTGAGACTGCTAATGATCTGATCTGTCTTCACTTCCCCATGTACTCTCTGCCCCAGCCAGCCTTGACAATGAGCTGTGGCCCTAATGAGCTATGTCGCCTCTTCTGTGGCACTCACTCTTCAGACTGGGAACTCTCCTGTCTACCCTGGCCACTCCCACTTATCCTCGGGTGCTGGCTTAGCTTTCTTGTCCTGTAATTAGAGTCTTCTTTTCCATTCCACAGCACCTGTTACTTCTATATCACATTTTTCCCATATTGAAATTCTTTTACATATCAGGAGATTTCAATTCCACAACGGCATCTCCTTGTCTAGTTGGATCAGCAGTTGCCTGATAAATATGGTATTGGTTGAATGAATAAGTTGGTGGGACTTCTACATATAGTTTACTTGATCCTCGTAGCAGCCTTGTGACGTAGGCCACCCAGGCTTGCTCTTACCCAGAAACTGCCATTTCAAGAAGCCAGGCATCTTGCTGGGGTCTGCACAGGAGATGGGAACCACAGCTCTCAGGCTCCTATGTTTGGGTCTTTTTGTTACTGTGTTGTAGTACTGGGGACTAAATCTAGGGTCTTACACTAGGCCAGTGCTCTACCACTTTTAAAAAAATGTTTTTAAATTTTTATGCAGGATCTCGCTAAGTTGCCTAGGCTGATTTTAAACTTGTGATCTTCCTGCCTTAGCCTCCTAAGTAGGTGGAATTACAGCCATACCTACTATACCCTACATGACATTTGTTCTTATAAAGTATTCCCTTCTTTAAAAACAACATTTTATCTATGGTGGTGGCATATGCCTATAGTCCCAGCATACAGGAGTCTGAAGCAGGATTGCAAGTTGGAGGCCAGCCTAGGCTACATAGCGAGTTCAAGGCCAATCTGAACTACATAATGAGACCCTTTCTCAAAAACAAAAAAATGGCATGTCGAAAAGATAACATAAGAATAGCATTTGTGTTTTTCACAGTTAGAAAATTAGTATCTTTAAGGTACCACATTCCTAAAATACTTTTCCATCATTGAATATTGAATTTCAGTACAGAGAAAAATACAATTTTAAAAACCATAATAAGATTCTAAATTTGAGATCTAAATTCTAAATTTAGGTGTATAGTAGAGAAAAACTGTGTACTTCATTAAGAAATAAAATTTGAGGGGTTTTAGCTCAGTGGCATTGTGCCTGCCTCGCAAGTACAAGGTCCTGAGTTCAATCTCTGATACAAAAAAATAAATAAATAAAATTTGATTTAAATAACAATAGCAGCCAGGTGTGGTGGCTCACGCCTGTAATCTCAGCACTCGGGAGGCTGAGGCAAGAGGATCGCTGTGAGTTCGAGACCAGCCTGGGCTACACAGTGAGTTCCAGAGCAGTCTGAACTACATAGTGAGACCCTGTCTCAAAAAAACAAAAACAAAAAATAATAATAATAAATACATAATAATAGCATAAAATAATAAATTTCACTGTATACAATTTATAGGATACTGAAAAAGATGATTCAAATCACACAGAGAACACTAATGTGTATTAGAGGTGGCTGGACTTGAAAGGGCAGCATTGAATTTGAGTCTCAGTTAAGCGGTTAGACTAGGTGTTCGACATTTGGCAGGTTACCAGCTATATACTCGTTTCCTTACCTGAAATAAGGTAACATATTTACCTTCCGAGATTATTGTAAGAATTAGACATGTGTCTTATACCCAGCATGGTGCCTGGCACATAGTTGGCACTCTTTAAAAGGTGGTGGTATTGACAGTTTTATGTATTTCCATCCAGACTTTTCACTGTCTTGTGTGTTCACACATATGCACATGCACCTTGTGTACACGTGTTCTTTGAAGCACACTTATATTAAATATATCATTGGGTCCTTATGGCAACCCTGTGAGGTAGACAGGGCAGGCATATTTTTAAACCTATTCTATAGACAGAAGAAACTGTAAAGCAAAAAGTAACTTGGCTTTGGTGCTGTACAGTGATCTCTGAACCAGGATTTCTACCTTGGCCTCCTGATGCCAGCCCACGTGCTTTCCCTATCAGCAATGTGCTTCCTTCCCACCTCTACCTCCACACAAGCATGGGCCTTCAAACCTGCCCAAGAGGAAGGTGAGGCCTAGACACAGCAGCAGTGCTGGGAGCCTCCAGACCAGCTGGGTCTGTCTGGGAACTGAGAAGTGCTCACTTCTCTAAAATAACAGACACATTTCCCAATTCCATGGCAACAGCCGGGCTACTGGCTAGAAAATTAAGGACCTTTGGTCATAGGGCCTTTTCGGTGAGGGAATATGGCATAGAATTAATGGATAGAATTCCTGAACTAAATTCATAGACAAGAATAGCCTTCCTCTACATTTTCTGTGGGGCACAGGTGTACCCACATTTCTTTCAGAGTGTAGTGGGTACCTAAAGGGCCCATGTGTGATCCACTGTGCTTAATGCTTAACTATGTGCATCATTTCACATTGTTTCCATCTCAGTGCATGTTTTCTGAGGCTGATATGTACCTGACATTTTGTGCCACAACGTACAGAAGAGACAGGTGCGTAGGGCCTTTAAGAAGCTCTTAGAACCAAATACAATCAGCTCTCAAACAGAGCTCCTCACGGGATTTGGGAGCAGAAGACTGAGTACAAACTCTAACTCATCTGCAGTTATTGGGGGTAGAAGGTAGGGTTCCCCTTGTCCCAAAGGGATGAGGACTTTTAAACTGGTTTTGATAGCCAAGAGCTCCTCTTTTGCCAGGGGCAGCAGGTGGGCCAGGATGTGTCCTGATTGTGGGGACTTCTTCTTGAGGAAGCATTTATGCAGTGGTTGCATGCACGCTGACTTCCTTAGATCACCATAGAAGGAGACTCTCTGTGGCCTACCTCCAGAGCAGGAACTGGCAACTCCTTAGTGAGATTATGATACTTCTTCCCAATTCCCACTGCCCACTGTGAAAACAGGGAAGTTAAACATGTTTTTTTTCATTTCACTGTCTTTCTACATTTTTTTTTCTAGTTTCAAAAACAACTCTTTTTCAAGTTCTGTCTACAAGGAAAGTCTTAACCGTTTTTCCCTTTTGGTGTCTCCTCTTCCATTGGGATCCATGCAGAATAGACCAGGTATTCTGTCTTTTGTGTGTGAAGCCATAAAATCTAATATTGAGTATGCAGCAATGCCCAGAGCTATGCTGCTCCCACAAGAGGCTCCGCAGCCCTGCTGTGGTGAAGAGCAAGTATAAATTGCCACTAACAGAGTTTTCTAGCTAGAGCTGTAAGTATGTCTGAGCAGCCCCTATGGGTCACAGTGCTACCAGCTCTCCTGCTGCTCCTCTGCACTACCTGCCTGTTGGCTGTTTCGCTTATCTGCAGGCCCCCATCACAGCCTGGGTCAGGGAGGGAAAAGGAGCCAAAGCCCCACACTTGGCTTGCAGCCATGATAAGAAAATAGGTGGGTCAGGAGTTGGCACTGGTCTGCATGCAAAGTCAGGGCCAAAGGGACAGGGTTCCTTCCTTCTCGGCCTGTTGCCCCGTGGCCAATGTCCCTCCTCAAGGTCCTGAAGATGAGTGACCTTACATTTTATGTCTACACAGTTTCTCACTATGTTCAACAAATGCCCAGCTTTTTTCCTTCTGATTCACCTTGGTGAAGCTGGGTGTTCCAGTGCCAATGTTTAATTCTTTGAATTCATAGGCTACTGCTGTTCCCAGATGTAACTTGTGCTTAAAACTGTTGGACGCAATAATATTTTGAGATCCTCTGTGGATTCTTTTTATCCATATGAGTATGTGTTCTCTAAAGTATAATCAGATATCCGCTATCATAGATTCCAGAAATAGAAGGAAGAATGCACTAAACTGAGCTGTCAGACACTTGGCTGCAGAACCATGCGTTCTACCCGGTGGTGTTGAAGGTGCATCCTGCATGCTTCCTCCTAATGGCTGCTGTGTGCTCACCCTGAGAATGACAAGTAGACTGGCATCACATCAGCACTGATGAACTTTCTGGGCCGAATTGCCGTTTTTCTGCTCATGTTCAGCTGGATGCTTTGAGAAGGGAGTGGGCCTTTCCCTTCAGTGGGCAGAGAGCTAGCTTCTATTTTAAAATTTCTCAGAAAAGAAAAAAAAAGTCCAGCAACCCAGAGCCTGTGTTTATTGAAGGCTGATCTAAAAGTCTCTCATACTGCGTGCCCCATCAGCCCTCGAGTGCCTCTACTTTAGAGGGTTTAATCACCCTGGTGGGGATTTAGACCCAGGGACTTCAGAGAAATCTTATTATTTCTAACTGCAGGCAAAGAGTATTAAGGCTCCACTCTGGATCAGGGGCATGACATGTTCTATAAGTAATTTATCTTTAACAGGGGAAGGCCCCTACTAGAGTGGCCTAGAAACAGAATTGTAATTGGACACTGGCTCATGGTTCCTCCTTTTCTCTTTCCCTGTCTTGGTCTCCTGCATCTTCTTTCTGTCTTGACCTTTTCCTGCCCATTCTGCCTAGTGTCTGTGTCTGCCTCCCTTTAACATGGGAGCCAGTGCCTGCCAAGGAGAGATAATAATGTTTTTGCACTAAGTGACCTCATCCAGCAGCTTGGCGTAGACCTGTCATCTCTGCAGGCTTCTGCATAGGCATTTACTGTACCCTCTCCAAGGAAGGAGTGGGAGAGGGGGAACAATGCTGTAGGCTCCACAGGCACTCAGCATTCCTAGACAAGAAGAAGTGCAGGGCCACTCTCAGCCCCATACCCAGCCCTCGTGTTTTCTTCCCAGAGGCAGCACCATGGGAGGTCCACATCTTTTTTTGTCAGGGGGGTGGGGGTGGGGGGTGAGATGGCCTCACTGTGTAGTCCCGGCTGGCCTTGAACTAGTGGCAATCCACCTGCTTCAGCCTCACAAGTGCTAGGCTTACAGGCGTGGGATACCATGCCTGGTGAGAGGCTCACATCTTCAGGGATGTTGTGGAGCTCTGATTCTATCTTCATGAGCCCGCACTGCCACCCTCTGACTGGACTAGCTCTCTGGATCCTGTCTTCCTGGCACTGAGGTTTGAGGCTGTCACAAGTTTGTGGATTCCTTCTGCTGTTTGGGGAATATGGTTTGACTGGTGGCAGATCTAAATCCATGTTCTAATGAGCTGGGTTAAAGCAGCCTTCTGCTATCCTCTTCTAATCTAGCCTGCCTGTCTCAGTTCCTTTCCACAGTTAATGATCTCCTATAATGGTTTTGCCTTTAGTTTTGCCTCCTGGGTCAAAACAAATCAATAGTCCTTACAGATATTTAAAATCCATCAGTGTAGAGCTCCTGGGTGCCCCCTCCCGTTTTTCTCCTTCTAGGTGAACCCAGGCTCTGGGTTGCTTGATCAGTACATGGCTGGTTCTCTCATATGTCCTCTTGTCTCCTAGAGATGGGCAGCAGTGAGCCCCTTCCCATCGCAGACAGCGACAAGAGGAGGAAGAAGAAGAGGAAGGCCCGGGCCACTGACTCCTTGCCAGGAAGGTTTGAAGGTTTGTTGCTCCCACAGCCCTCATCAAAGGAGTAACAGAGCAAGTAGGGGTGGAACACACTGGCCTCCCCTACACGGTCAAGCACCTGCTAGGTGAGCAGGAAAACCAGTCTATCAGAGCTGTACGTGGATTTCCTCATATGTCCTGGTGCCTTGTCAGATGTGACCTTACCTCAGCATTTCCTGGAGAGGCTGCTGAGTGGAGAACATCCACATAAGAGGAAGCAAGAAACACAAGGGCTGTGGCTGCAGATGACACCGTAGTCTTAGCTAAGGGAAGGATTGGACTCCTAGAGATCAGAGCTACTTGTGCTGCATAAGTCTGACTCCCTTTGGAAGGGTATGTGTTAAATCATCAGACATTTTGGGGCACTCCATGTGTGTGGCCTGAGGCTTAGAGCTTGGGTTGTTGTCACTGGGTGCGTGATGGGGTGAAGTGAATCACTGGACACCCTGCTGAAGACCAAAAGTATCAGTGTGTCCCCTTCAGCTGTTTTGTTCTTTGTTGTGAGACCTGAAATTGCATCCCGTTCCGAGCCCTCTTCCTGACCTTGCAGGCGCGCCAGTGGTTCTGACAAAAAGAACTTTAGGAGTCAGGAATATTGGATTCCAGTCATTAAACATCCTGACGTGTAAAGTACTAACACCAAAGTGTACACCTTAAGAGAAGCATGTCATTTAAAATACACACAATAGTGTGCCCTCAGTTCACATAGATAGCTTCAAGACAAACTATGGTAGAACCAAGAAACTACTCAGTGAGGGGGCATTTGTTTGTTTGCCCACCCTCACCTCAGAAGTAGAGGACTGTGTTTATGTCGGGGTGAAGGGGTTAGAGGAGACAAAATTCCCCAGGATTTTTTTTTTTTTTAGACAGTGTCTCACTATGTAGTTCAGGCTGGCCTTGAACTCACTATGTAGCCCAGGCTGGCCTCTCATTTACAGCAATCTGACTCAGTCTCCAGAAGTGCTGTGATTACAGGTGTACACCACCACACCTGTCCCTCCAGGGTTTTAGAATAGTTTGCAAATCTATAGGTCTTTTTTTTTTTTTTTGGTACTGGGGATTGAATTGAACTCACAAGGCAGGTGGCAGAACCACTGAGCTAAATCCCCAGCTACAGGTCTTTTGTACTCTCAGTGAACACAGGAGTACGTCCTGTTGTTTAAAGATAGCTTGTGCAATCACCAACTTCTCGTGACTAAGTGTAACAAGAGTTTGGTCACAGTTTAGTCTTCTACTTAATCTATGGGTTTAAGACTAGGCTGTGAGTTCCGTCAGGTCATCCAAACGTTTTTTTACTCCAGGCCGATAGCTGTGTTACAACCGCTCTGACTCAGTACCTAACCTCAAAGCATCATTTGCATACTATTCTGTGTCACACTTCCTGTGGGTAACTTCTAGAAACTTCGTAGGAACCTCTGATGACCTTCATTGTGTGTAGTATAAAATAGAACAGTGCTTTATTCCCCTTTGCATCACCTGTGCTCAACACGGAGCTTGGCACATTGTACCTGCTCAGTAAATTAATGAATGATGTTCATTCAAATCCTACTGCTTCTGTGAGGGTCCCTGGATTCCCCAGATTTCTCCTTTCATTTTCTGTACCTTTTTAAAAAAAATCTGTGTTTATCCTCTGTGATCTGTGTGATGGCACTTACCAGTTCCTCGTTTATTCTAGGGCCATTAGGTTATTTGTCTGTCTTCCCACTAGTCTGAGAACCTTAGAGGGAAGGGACTCACATTTTATTCCTTGCAGCATCCCTGTTATGCAGTCTGGCACACAGTAGGTACTCAGGAAGGAGGTGCTGAACTGCAACTCTTTCTCTGACCTCATCTCTCAAATGAGGAACAGGATGCCTTCTATGTGGCCTTCTTGTTGAGAAACAGATCTGTCATGGCTGGGGAAAGGACGAGTCTTCCTCATCAGCGAGTGCTACAGAGTCATCCTGTGCGTGTTCTGCCTGGGTGGTCAGACTGGGGAAGCTGAGTGACAGCAACGCTTTCCAGCTCAGCTTGCAGCGGGGTGACTCATCTTGTTATTCCTCTCATCCATTTCACCTCTAGATATATACACACTGACTTCTGAATTGCTGGGAGAGGGAGCCTATGCCAAAGTTCAAGGTGCTGTGAGCCTGCAGACTGGCAAAGAGTATGCTGTCAAAGTGAGTGTCTCATCTGGAGGTCAGGCTTTATTTGGCAAATAGTCATTTCTAGCTTGTCCCAAACTAAATGTATTTTATTTTCTTTAATACGGTGGTTCAGTAAGAACCTGGACTCTAAAGCTGTTTTCACTGGATTCAAATCTTGGTCTTTTAACTGGGTAAGTTACATAACTGTTTCGTCCTTTAGTTTCCTCATCTGTGAAATGGTTGTGTTAATAGAGCCTATACATAACTGTTGTGAGAACTAAGTAAGGTAATATGAGTAAAGTGCTTAGGATAATGCCGGCTCCTAATGGGCTGCTTCTTTGTCCTCTTCGTGGGGAGCCCAGCCAGACTGACTCTGAAAGAAACATCTCTTTTTCACCGCCTTCCCACAGTTGCAAGAAGGAGAACATGGTGACAAGAGAGCAGCTTCTGTTCCTTTTTAGAAAGATTGGTAGAGACTGTAATTTCTTTAAAAGTATGCCTAGTGTGGTAAGAACCACAAATGTAGATTGGTTATCAAAGGTTTGATACATTGACAGATGATAGATCTGTTTCTCCCAGCGTGGGTCACAGGAGGACAGACAACCTGGCCCTTGTTCCATGTTCCCTTGGTTTGGCAGATCCTTGGTTTTAGCAGTTCTGCCTGTCTTGTGTCACCTCTCCTCTCTGAAAGCTCCCTAAGGATGGGCTCCTTCTCCCAGCGTGGCTCCACCAGACTTGCTCTGTTACCATTTTCCCTACAGGTATCCAGCTGATAAACCTCAGGCTCAGAATGGAATGTCCAAATACTCTGATCCAAATTTTCTGTAAGACTCCCCAAGGAGTTGTCAATGCTCTGTTCTCCGTCTCTAGTGGCCAGAGCCTGTTACCTCCTCTGAGAAAAGCAGTGCTATTGCTTGAAAGCCTGTCTTCTGGAAAATTCTCCCTCACTTTGACCTGAACTGCTTGGTGTATGAGGCTGAATGGTTCATAGTTCCCCAGCACTGGACCTCATTGCCTGTTCAGAAAATGGACACAGGCAGTTTGCTAATAGATGTGGGCTTATTTAGCAAATTGTAGTTCGATATGTGCTGCAGCGTATTGGAGACTTCTGAGCTATTGTGCCCAGCATTATTGGAACGGAAGGGTGGGGCATCATCATCTGAGGCAGGGCCAGGGCCAGGTCTGCAGAAAACTTGCCCGTAGGCTCTGTTAGGAATGGTCTGGGGCTCTGGATGCGTCCACAGAGATTTTCAGAATCAGCCAGGCCGCCTGCAAACCACCTGCTTCACTGTGGACTCATGCATTTTGGAGTGGGCATTTTCCAGGTATCACCAGGCAGAGGTGTGGAGGGAGGAACCCACAGTTTCACAGGAGAGAAGCCTCTAGGTTCTAGAAGAAGCTGTCTAGGCTAGGAGCATGTACGGGATAGTGAGGGCTTTGAGGTCAGCTCCAGGGTGTGGGCGAATGTTTTATGCTTTCCTGTCTTTGGACAGTGTTGTAAGGTTTTACTGAGACTAAGTATATAAATTAATTAATACAGGCCCTGCCAAAGAGAGAGTTCTCAGAAGAGCAAGCACTTCCTTCAGCCTGGAGGATCTAGAGTGCACTGAGCTTGGCCGAGAGGCTTTGCACCTCTTGCTATATCCTCCCTCACTTTTAACCTTCCTCGAGCTCTGGAAGACCCTCCCATAGAGCCTTCACTTCTAACCTGTAAGGCAGGAAGAGCTGCCCTGCAGGAGAAGGAGCTGAGCCGAGTTAGTTCTTTGTCACTGGCTGCATCTGTCTCCCCTGGGCAGCTGGAGGTCAGCAGCCCCCTAGGGCTTCCTTGGTGCTGTGCATGGCCAGAGGCTCCGCCAGACTGGAAGCCTTTGGACCAGGCGCCTGCTTGAAAGAGCCACAGTGCCTGTGTTACCAGGACCCACCCCAAACTCCTGCTGGAAACTGGATTCGGACAGTGTTTGCTTTGTCTTCTCCCAGTGGGCTCCTGTGCAGGGACTGTTTTGTGTAAAGTGATGTGCATGACAATTTATTCTTCCCACAGATCATCGAAAAACAAGCAGGGCACAGTCGGAGTCGGGTATTCCGAGAGGTAGAGACGCTTTATCAGTGTCAAGGAAACAAGTGAGTGTCCTATGGGGTGATTCGATGCTTCTCTGGGGGAGGGGTGTAGCTACAGAAAAGGGGTGACTTCTTACCATCCCCTGACCCCAGCATTTGGCTCTCATTTCTACCCCACAACTATGAGTAACCCCTTCCATCTTTCAGCAGGAGAGAGAAAGAGGGAAAGAGGGAGGGAGGAAAAATAGCAATAACCTCAAGAAGCCATCTTCTCTTAGGCTGAAACACTGTAAATATCATCAGTCCAGCAAGTTACAGAAGTAATAGGAATCAGTGGCTGGGGGAAAATGAAGTTTCATTTCTTTCAAGTGCCTGTAGAAGCTTGGCCAGCCGAGTGTTGCCTGGCAGAGGTCTTCAGAGCTACTTTAGTACCGAGATGAGTGCAAGAGGTGTTAAGAATATTTGCTGCTCTTTTCTGTTCCTAGCACACTTCATACGCACGGATGCCAGCTGGGTCCTGAAGCAGGTCCGATGCTCCTTGTTGATGACTGGGCCATAGTAACCTCAACCCCCACTAAGCCTGCTCCAAATGAGTGGCACTCCCACGGTGGCTTTAAATCAGGGTCACCCCCAAGACTTGCTTCCCCATCTCTCTCCCTTCATGGCAGGGTCAGCAGGGAGCCAGTAGCCTGGTATTGATGGCTTTGTCATTAAGCTTGGAGGAAGGGGGCTGCTGTTGATTTAACTCCAGGCGCTGCCTCTACAATCTTCTTTCAAATTAGGCCATTTTGTCCATCTTATTTGGACGCCTTCACACTAGTAAAAGCCTGGTGTCTCCCAAAGTGGCCAGCATTTTTTTACGAGGGACAGATTTTTATTTTCAGCCCTGCAGCTTCTTAGTTCAGCATTAGAGACTCTACTTGGTTTATTTCGTTCTTTCAAAGAAAAAAAAATCCCAACACCTCCAGTATCCAGTCTGGTGGCTTCCCCACTGAGTTACAAGACGACCTTGTTGGCAGAGCACAGCAATACTTGGGCAGACAGAGAGTGCTCACCAGGGAAGGCCACAAGTGCTACAGTGGCCAGGAACGCGGCCATTTCATTAAGCAGCGCTTAGCAGTTAGGGTCTAGCGGTGCCCACGTTAGGCCCCAAGTCTATTTGACAGATGTTTCCATTTTCTCCAGGCAATGTAAATACTGCCCCGTGATTTATGGGCAAGAGGGAGGGCAAGTAATTATTTGCTGCTTGCCTCCAGGACACACACCTACTATTCAGTGTTATTAGCCGCAATTGCTTTCAGTCGGCTGCAGATTTTATTCAGTTTAATGTGACCGGGACTTTTTTATAACTCTACCTAGTGGGTTTTAGGGTTGGGGTTTGACAGCACGGACTTGGTGAAAACACCAGAGACTAAACATTATGGAAAGATAAGGTGACCTGAATCTTACTAACACCATTGGCTGCTTCTAAAACATGGGTCCTTGTTAAGCATTCTGATTTCAAGTTGATTTCTGCCCTGCTATAGGGTTTTGAATATTTTTTCTTTGTATATTTGTAATAGAACTTTGATGCATAATACTATCCTCCCCTTCCCTCTCTTCCTATTTTTTCCCCATTTAAGGAACATTTTGGAGCTGATTGAGTTCTTTGAAGATGACACAAGGTTTTACTTGGTCTTTGAGAAATTGCAAGGAGGTATTTCTTATTGAGTATGTGTTTGGACTTCGGATTAAGACCCAGGGTGGTGATCATCCATCATGAATCCAGAGACTTCTAAAATGAGTCAAGCTAATAAAAAGGATGAAGGACTTAAAAACTGCCCTTGATCTGGGAGAAGGGATGCCGGAGGGAAGAATGATAATTAGCATTTCACAGAGTTTAGAATGTCACCTGAATGGGCATTCTATAAATGCTTTTTCATTATGAGTCATACACACACACACACACACACACACACACATATTTAGTGATCAATTTATCAATCACTGTTTTGACACATTCACCATTTAACTAGATTAATTATGGGATAGAAGCTTTGGCTTACATTGTTAAGTCCAGAAAGGCTAAACAGAGGAGAGGAGGACTCCATAGTTTGTTACAGACCCAGGGCAGAGGAGATGGCAAAAATGTGCCATCCTTCCTTCAGGTGGAAGGATGTTACATTGCCCATCGCCATACCACTGTCATCCACATGAGTTTTACTGGGAGATGTGTTCAGTTCTTCTGACATAGTGACATGGTGAAGTGACAGAGGCGCTCTTTATGCCCGAACCCTCACCAGACCCTAGGACCATTTGCAAGGTGAAGGTTATGAGGATGCAGGGGTGCACAGAGCTGAATGGAGGGCTATACAGGGGCTTGATAGTCCAGGGAGTATGCTTTGAAAACCAGCAAAGCGGAGCTTGAGTCTGGCTCCATTATTTACCAGCCTTGTGACCTTCAGCAAGTCCCTTCACCTTTTCTGAACGGTATTCTCATCTATAAGATAGGGACATTGATGGCTCCTAGTTCATAAGGTTGCTATGAAGATTAAATTAGTTGCTGTGAAATGCTTAGCTGCGTGTCTGGTAGGCACTAAGAGCTCAATATTGGCTGTTAATATTATTAAAACAACTGGAAGCTGGGGACCGCCTTAGAACTATATATATTATTCTCCTCCTTCCCTTTTAACAAATTTAGACACAAGAGGCTTCCTATAACAGGACAAGCTGGAGCAGAACCAGGAGATGGTTTTCTGAAAATGTTTCCTAACATGCTGGGACCTTTTGTTTAATCATGTGAAAGATCTTTAGCCATTCTTCCCTCATTCCCTCCCCATATCAAAAATAAATAAACACACAGAGATAACAAGCACAGGCCACTTTAGGACTCAGAAATAACACCTTCAGCCCAGAAATACTGACTTTCAGTACTCATTATAGATCACTTGAAGCCAAGCTGTATACTCACACCTGTGCCTGACCCCAACCTGCCTATTCCACACCAAGACTCAATTACCTGTCTGAAATGCTATAAGCAGCTGAGTCTTCTATAGCTATAGCACTTAGAATATAGCTTCACGGAAGCCAGACCCAAGGGGTAACAAGGGAGGGAATGGCCTAGAGCAGTCCATCCCTCTAGCAGTTGGACCACAAATTCAGCTGAGTAGTCCGCAAAGGCTCTGGAGCCAGATGGATTACACCTAAAAACCTTGACTGCACACTTGATGCATTGTCTTGGGCAAGTTGCTTAACCATTTTTGGCATGAGGTTCCCCACTTATAAAATAAGGACAGCTATTCTGCCTATTTTGTACATTTGTGAGAATGAGATCATTTCTTTAAAGAGCACTGCATAGTGCCTGGTACATAGTAACTAATGAATAAATGTTAGCTGTTACCAACAAAATAACATGGAAACTTTAGGAGGTAAAGCGGTTTCCCCCTTTTTTTGTCTAGAGAGGATCTGGCATTTTCACTGGAAAACTTGGCTCTTGCTTGGATCTAAGCGTAAATGGAGAGAAGCAAATGTCTTAAAGTCCGCTCGGCCTCATGTGTAACTTCTAGTTCCTTTTGATTTCAGAAGCCAAAAACTTCCTAGTAGCATTAATTTTTTTTTTTTTGCCATATAAGTAGTTCTCTGTCACTTCTAAGCTCCTTATAGACAGGCACAGAAAGCAGCAAGCAGTCTAAGTTTATTTAGCAGACATATACTAGTTCCTCTATGCTGGGCAGCACACTTGGTCTAGACATTTAGCATGAGTGCGCCTATATCCCCACCTCAAACTTGGGAAAACTTGGCCTCTAAGAAGTAGTACTTTCTGGGTCCTGCAAAGGTGATCTCCCTTCATCCCGTCTGCTCCTCAGGCTCCATCTTAGCCCACATCCAGAAGCAGAAGCACTTTAATGAACGAGAAGCCAGCCGAGTGGTGCGAGATGTTGCTGCTGCCCTTGACTTCCTTCATACCAAAGGTGAACCAAGCCAAGCTTTGGTGGGCAGGTCATGCTGGCCAGCCTCTGGGTACCAAGGGAGAAGGTAGGCCTGCAGGGGGTTTGTTCAGGAGATGGCACAGCTGGCAAACAGCTTGAGATTCAAATATGCCCTCCCTGGAAGAGGCAGGGACAATCTAGCATGTCTCTGTTATGGGCGGTGGAGAGATGGTGGCACTGTTAAGTAGGATTAGGATACAAGAGAAAGTGGGAGGAAAAATAATGACTTTCATATTGGACAAGGTAAGTGTGTGTGCCTATGTGTGTGGATCATGCCCTTTCCCTGATGAAAAACACAACAGTCATGCATGATACGATATTCTCATGCACGTGTTTTAATGTCATTCCTTCTGGTTTTTTTGTTTGGTTTGGTTTGGGTTTTTTCTTTCTTTTTTTTTTGGTACCGGGGATTGAACTCCAGTCCTTGCACAGCAGGTGGCAGAACCACTGGGCTAAATCCCCAGCCTTCCTTTGGTTTTTAAAGTACATTATCTGTATCTCTCTTTTCAAAATTGATATCATAGGGTGGGGAATTTAGTTCAGTGACGCCATGTCTGCCTCTGAAGTGTACATCCTGAGTGCTAAGTTCAATCCCCAGTACCAAAAAAAAAGGTGTTAATTACAAAAAAAATGGTGTTATATATGTAATTTTATGTATCTTGTTCACTGTAAATGAAAAATGCATTTTTCTATTCATAATGAAAGTTAGAGGTATCCATTGAACATCACGTAATAACTTGCAGATTACTGTTTATTGTGAGTTATACTTTTGCTTACAGTCCTTTTCCTAGGACTAATAATTCCAGAACTTTTGCAGTGAATCAAGTCTTTTTGCAAATTGTTTTTACGTTTCCATAAATCTGTTGGACTATTACATGTTTTTTAAATTTCCCCAGTATCAGTGCCACAGAAAAAATGAGTGCTGGCTTCAGCCCTCTTCCAACAGTGATAATAGCTACCCAGAGAGTTACGGTGAAGAGGTGAAGATTAGGAGAGACTATAACATCATCTGTAGTAGTTCATGACAATTGTTATGTGCTGGGCACTGCTCTCAGGCTTTTATTTGTATGAATGCATTTATGTAGTTTTGTACATCTCTACATAAAACAAACATGTATAAATAGTAGTTCCTCATAAAATATTATCTCTTCTACCGTGTAGAAAGCATTTTTAGCCCTACTATTAATTCCTTGAAGAAAAGCATTCTGCCGGGTGGAGGATGGAGGTAGAGCAAAGAATTTGTGGCCTGGCTCCACTCCTTCACGATTGTGGCTGCTGGTTGTGAGAGCTCAGGACCAACTGCAGGCGTGCTCCAGACACATCCCACACTGTGCCCCAATACATGCGGCCTGATGTGCCTGGTGTGACTGAGGGTCACGGATTCCACCTGGTTTCCTCCAGTCACTGAAAAAGACCTGCAAACTGACAGTGTCCATGTTGGGGCCCTGACTTGCACCTGGGATGAAAACTCCTAAAGGGGGTGTCTGACTTTTGGCAGCATGATGAATAGCAGCAGCTCTGTTTCTGAAAGCTGGGATGCATGTAGGTAACACCTGCCTGACAAAGATTTACAACTGCTCCCCAAGCTGCCTCTGTAGATTGCAAAACTGGGTCACGCTTTTTTTTTTACAAGAGCCATACCTTGGAGGAGGGGTAGAGGCGGTTTTATTATTTATTTATTTATTTATTTATTTACAAGAATACACTAAAGGGAATGGAGGCTGGTGGTCTTAAGAGTTCAGAAGTGCTTGTTAACATCTAACTGGCCAGCTGCCTGCCCATGTGACTAGAAGTTGGAGGGGATGAAAAACGATTTCCAGCTGAACTTGGCTGTTTTCTAAATAACTTCATACCGGGAAGATGAATTGGGTGAGAATGGGCCAGCCCTGAAACAAGTTCTGTACTTTTAAATACTGGACACACTGTGGCTTAACCTCTGGGAAATGAACCGGAGCAGCTGGATGGCCAGTGCACTCACACAGCAGACCCATTATTACAGCCTGGCTCTCTAAGTTCTCAGACTGAGGGACGAGTGGGCCATGGGCACCTATTTGGGGAGTAAGGCTCTATGTGCAGCTCATGATCCTTCCGTGGGAGCACTTGCTGTAATGGAAAATATCTTTCACTTGTAGTGTGGTAAGCAGTAGCCTGACTCAATTTGTGCAAGCTGGGCTGGGTTGCTCTGGGTTCTCATTCAGTTAGGTGACTGATGAAGTTACTTAGCTTGCCAGAGCTCAGCTTTCTCTTTGCTAGTAAAGAGCCTCAGGTGGGCCAGGCCCATGAATTCCAGTAGGGAGTTAGAGGGCTGCCTAAGAAGTCGATCATCCCGTGAGGTTAGGGAAGACCCTGCCTCTTATTATCCCTGAGAATCTTCTGCTGCTTTCCAGGACTGTGAAGTAGACTCTTGCTCAAGCTACCAGACCTGTTGTTCTGTGCCTGCCATGGAAGGGGAGGGAGGGAGGTTGATTTCTGTGTCCTCCAGAGCACCATGGCCCTGTTTGTTGTTTCTTTGTCCCTTTCTTTTGGTAAGAAGAAGGCTTTTACCTAGCACCATGGCCCTTGCCTGTAATCCCAGCCACAAAGGAGGCTGAAGCAGGAGGATCACTAGTTCAGGGCAGCATGGGCAAGACCCTGACTCAAAATAAAATTTTCAAAGATCTGGGTTATAGCTCAATGGCAGGGTGCTTGCCTAGCAGGTATAAGGCCCTGAGTTCAATCCCCCAGCACACACACACACACACACACACAAACACACACACTCTCTCTCTCTCTTTTTTTACACACACACACACACACACACACACACACACACACTCTCTCTCTCTCTCTCTCTCTCTCTCTCTCTCTCTCTCTCTTTCTCACACACACACACACACAAAATAAACAAGAAAACAGGTTTCCCCCAGGTGCCTTCTTGATCAGGTCAACAGTTTTTAACCCTTCATAGGGTGAGCTGCTGTTACTGTCCTCTGCAGGAGGCCTCACCAAAATGCAGAGGTGTCCTCTCCTAAGAACAGCACCCTCAGGCCAGAGCTGTCCTTGCAGAGGAGATGAGAAGGGAGTCAGGCAAGCTTGGAGAAATTTGTTAGCTATCATTTGGTCTTCTAAACATCAAGGGAGTCCCACTGAAGGAATCTTTGTTTTTTTAATCAGCTACACAAGAAGAAATGAGGTAGAGCAGTCTAAGCCCCCCGAGATGCTTTAAACAAGGCTCTAATTATTTCTGCATTGCATTGCTATTCCGAGTATTGCCATTTGCTGAGCTCTGTTCACCACAGTGCTGAAAGGTAGGCTGGCCGGGATTCATTTAGGCCTTCTTATCCCTGCCAGACTTCTAAAGCCTCTGCTTCAAAAGAACTTGCAAAAATCAACTGTGCTTTGGTTTGTGTCTCTGGTTACTTCTGCCTCCTGCAGCTCGTTGGTTTTTTAATGTACCATAATTGGGAATTAATCTGCAAACAATAGCATTTGGAAAAAATTAATTGTGTGTGGAATGTTTGATAATTATGTACATATGTTAACCATTTCTTTGCTGTGGCATCATTTCAGGCATTGCTCACCGTGATCTGAAGCCAGAAAATATATTGTGTGAATCTCCAGAAAAGGTACTTAGGGCCTGCTTTGGGATGTTCCGGTTTATACTGGCCAGGAAAGCCACCCTGCTTTCCACGTACTGTAAATTGTTAGCAATTTTCTCAGCCTCATATACTAACTACAGCTGGTTATTATGGACACACAAGAATGCTGTGCCTAGTATGTAACAATTCAGCATTCCAAATAGGGTTAGTTCTTGTCCCTTCTTTGCTCTTTGTCATTAATATGATTGGCTTAAGCATACATTTTGTAAAATATATGAGGCCCACACAAAACTAACATTTTCTGGTCCCATGTACCTACCTTTAGAGTAGTAGATAAGAGTCAAAGACAACTCAATCTTACATGGGCACATCTTTTCCCACAAATGATATTTGTGCTGTGGTGTGTATGCTAGGTGATGTCTACCATTAAAGCTACTAATTAGAACCTCGGTGTTGTGGCCCACGCCAAGCTACTCAGGAGACTGAGACAAAAGGATCACAGATTTGAGGCCAGCCTGGGCAAGGGAGTGATATTCTGTCTCAAAATAGAATTTGCAAAGGACTGGGGTTATAGCTCAATGGTAGAGTGCTTGCCTGGCATGCTTAAGGCCCAGTTTTAATCCACAGTACCACTTAAAAAAGGAGGAGGAGGAGAAGAAGAAATAATTAGGGTTTTTTGTTTGATAGGTTTGGTTTCGTTTTTTTGAGACAGGGTCTCGCTATGTAGTTCAGGCTGCTCTTTCTTGAACTCACTATGTAGCCCAGGCTGGCTTTGAACTCTCAGTGATCCTCCTGCCTCAGCCTTCCAAGTACTGGGATCACAGGCATGTGCCACCACACCTGGCAAAGAAGCAATAATTAGGAAGCAGGTTCTTGAGAAGAGTTTCTATTTCCATTTCTGTTTCCAAAAGTGCCCATTAAAGAGAAAACATCTATGCTTAATGTTGATCTAATGCAACCTATATTAAACATTGCCATAACCCACTTTACTAGTAAATGGAAATGTTTGCATTTCTGTAAACATGTATTAAATTGGTAAGTTCTGTATTTGTTAGGAGAGATTTAGGCCCGGTATTGGTGGTCCTCAGCCATAGTTCCATGTGTGTCTATAAAGGTGCATAGGCAAGAGCTACATGTCTTGGTATGGATGAGGCCATGGCTCATGCATAAGGCCTGACTGCAAGTGGAACGTGAGTCAGCCTGCTACAGTTTTTCGAGGGGAATAACTGTGTTAGCTCAGATAAGATTTTGTGACTTCCTGTCAGTGTTTCTGGCACCCAACTTTGTAACTCTTCATTATGACTATTAGACTTACAGTTAACATTTCTGGAGTGCATACACTGCACCAGGGACTTATATGACTATTTAGTATTTATTTATCTTGAGGTAGGTACTATTATTATCTTCATTTTATGGGTGAGGAGACTGAAGCTGAGAGAGGTTAAGAAACTTACACGAAGTCAGTAGCTGGTAAGTAGAAGAGCCTAGATTAAAATACAGGTGGGCTGACCCCAGCACACCCTCCAAAATACAAGGAATTTTCATGTCCTTTGTTTCATTTGCTCTTCATCGCATAGGTTTGTTGCCCCCTTTTTATGGTTGAAAAACTAAAAAAGAGAAAGCAGAAAGACAACCTACATAGTGGGAGAAAAGGTTTTCAAATCATATATCTATAAGGATTTAATATCTACACTTGATCTTAGCCAATAGGCCAAGAAGCAACAAGGATTTAATATCTAAAATAACATGAAGAACTCCTAAAATTCAACAGCAAAACGATATCCCCTTTTTAAAATGCCAAAAGGACTTTAACAGATATTTCCCTCAATAAGATATACAAATGGCTAACAAACACGTGAGGAGATGGTCAGCATCCTTAGTCATTAGGGAAAAATCAAAACCACAAGAAGCCACATATACTTGTAATACTAGCACTGTGAGGGGCTGAGGCAGGAGGACTGCAAATTCAAGCCCAGCCTGAGCAACTTCGTGACTTAATGAGAACCTGTCTGAAAATTTTTAAAAATAAAAAGGGGTGGAAATGCAGCTCAAGTGAAGACCATGAGTTCAATTCCTAGTACTGCAACCATATAAACAAATGAAAAAGACACCCCTAGGCTGGGGAATTAGCTCAGTGGCACCGAGCCTGCCTCACAAGTGCAAGGTTCTGAGTTTAATCCCTGGTATCGACCCCCCAAAAAAGACCACTACACAGCTGCTAAGATAGCCTCTTTTTTTTTTTTAAGGGCAGGGTCTCACTTTGTATTTCAGGCTGACCCTAAAGTCACTGTGTAGCCCAGGGTAGCCTCGAACTCACAGAGATCCTCCTGACTCAGCTTCCCAGGTATTGGGATTACAGGCATGTATCCCATGCCCAACAGCTATAATTTTTTAAAAATAGAAAATAACAAGTGTTGGTGAGGATGTGGAGAAAAATGGAAACAAAGTTTTTGTACACAGAGAGGGGAGAGAGCTTGGGGGGATGGGTAAAATAAAATTTATTAATAAATAAGTGTTGATGAGGATCTAGAACACTTATACATTGCTGGTGGGAATGTAAAACATGCGAAACAGTTTGGCATTTCCTCAAAAGGCTAAACACAGAAATACCACATGACCCAGCAGTTCTCTCCTAGGTATATACCCAAAGAATTGGAAACAGAGCCTCAAACAAATACTTACTTGTACACTAATGAGCATTACAGTGTTATTCATAGTAGCCACAAGGGAGAATCAACCCAGCTGTCCATCCAGGTGAATGGATAAACAACATGTAGTCTCGACATACAGTGGAACATTATTCAGCCTTAAAACAGACATGTTACATGCTACATGTATGATGCATGTTACAAAATTGATGACCTTAAAAACAGTATGCCAAGTGAAAGGCACACAAGGGCAGATACTGGGTGCTTCCACTCACGGGAAATGTCTGAAGTAGGCAAAGGAATAAAGACATAAAGTGGGTTTGAGTCACCTGGGGTTGGGAAGCAGAAATATCAAGTCATTCCTGGAGTCTAGCTTCTGTTTGGAGCGATGGAAAAATTACAGAACAGTGGAAGTAGTGGCACAACAGCTTGAGTGTAATGTACACCACTGAACTGTACATTTAAAATGGCTATAATGACATACTTTATCTCTTTAATCTTACCACAATAAAAAAAATAAATACTAAGCGAAAAAGAGGGAAAGAAAGAGTGAAGGGACCAGGGAAGAGGTTAGAAGGTTGACCCAGGCCTCCCTGGTCATGGACAGACAAGCTGTGACCCACAGACCAGTATTCTCAACTCTCTCACCACAGTCCTCCCTCTCTTCTGCAGCCATGAGTCACCCGTTGTGGTCACAGCCATAGCATCCAGTCTGGTGGGATTGGCTGCTGAGTTCATGCTGCCCACAGTGACTGAATATCCCAGTTTCCCCAGGACTTTTAGTACTTCGACCAACCCAAGCTAGCAAACCATGACATGTTGAAGCCTAAGCCACCTGAAATGGTCGGGGTTTTACTCTGAGCTCCTTTGCCCTCCACCAAATGGACTGCAAGGGGACTGTGTTTCAGTGATACAGTAGTCCCTGACTTACGAACATTCAAGTTTCGAACTTTCACAGTTGTATAAGATTCATAGGTGTACCGTAGAAGACTCTGTTGGATTGATTACAGATGAATCTGATTTACTTTCTCCTGGGTCAGAACCCATTTATAAGTCGGGGGCTTACTGTGCATATTAACTTCTCTGGCTTCTGTGTTGCAACCTATGCCATTGTTTACTGTCAAGAGTCCTGTTCTCATACTGAGTTCACAGCAGCCTACTACCGTGTAATTCACCTGTTTTTCTCTCAGTTGAGGAATGAGAACATAAGGAAGAGGACACGTTGGCAAAAGTCCCCGGGTGGCTCCTACTTAAGGAGATAGAGCCAGGCTAAAGTGTGATGGCCACATGCCCACATGCCCCTCAGTTAGGCTAGACTCCTCATACCTCTGGCTTTTTTGTGTCTGTGACCTCTGCTCTCTGTTTCCCTTTGCAGGTGTCTCCAGTGAAAATCTGTGACTTTGACTTGGGCAGTGGGATGAAACTCAACAACTCCTGCACACCCATAACCACACCAGAGTTGTCCACTCCAGTACGTATGTCTGTACACCCTGCCCCTTCATGTTGGGCTGCTGCACTTATGCAAGGCCCCGGCCCAAAGCTGTGGCATCTAGAACAGAGGGCTGAGGAAGGGAAACCAAGTGTGTCTGTAGCGCTTCCCAGGCCCAAATGTCCTTTGCTCAGTGCTCTGTATTGGTAGCTCCCAAGCTCGATGCCTGTCCTATTGCTGATGAAACTGACTGACATTTTAGTTTAGGGTCAGTCATCTCTGCTAAGAAAGGAACAAATTGTCTCCATGAGCACAGGCTGCATCCAGACCCCTGTCCCAGGTGAAAACGCACTACTCAGCCCAGCCTTTGTTGAACGTACAGCAGTGTGCATAGCTCCGAGTCTCATTGCCTCTGAGAATCAGCACCTCCCCCTTGTGGCGGAGGAAGGAAACTGACCTCCCCACTGGAGGAAAGAGAACTAACTACCTGTGGTGGGGATGGTGAAGTTCCTGGCTAAATGTATGTGGGGTCCCTTGGCCAAATTAAGCCCCTGCTTCTCTCACTTCACATTTCACAGCCAAATGGTGCTGCCAGGAGCTACTTCTTCCTATGACATCTTTTAACATATTTGATACACTATAGTTAGAGTAGTTGTTTTGAGATTTGCCTGTTTCATAAGGGAATTTTCCTGATATCTTTTACAAAAGACGTGCCTTTAAATATGCCCACACTGTGTCTTTTTCTAAGCAACCTTATGAGGAATGTTTCTGTAATAGTTTCTAACACATGTGCTACCTTGTTCTCAAAATCATTAACTCTAATTGCTTATAACAAAGAAAATACCCTTTCTTGAGAGCACTTATCTTCCAATCAAATTAGTTTCATGGGGTAGGAGTGGGGGGCTGTTTCTCAGTGAGCCTGAAATAATAAACAGGGGAGCAAATTAGTTGTGTTTTGCTCTTCTCAACAGTGTTCTGGGCAAGGGGGTGAAAAGGAGTCCTGGATCCTCATCCTGGATCTGCTACAGCTTTACTGCTTGTCCCATCTTAGGCCTTGTTTTTTCTTCCTATAAATAAGGCAAGGAGGGAGGGCTTGTCATCAGAATTCTTCTGGTTTTGATGGTCTCTTAATTCTAAATCCTTACACTTCCTTGCTTCCCAGTTAGTGGGGAAGCTTGGCAGGAGTCACTTCAAGAAATTCTTGCTAGGGCCAGGGATTTAGCTCAGTGGTACTGTGCCTGCCTCGCAAGCTGTAGGTACTGAGTTCAATCCCCACTACAAGAAAGAAAGAAAGAAATCCTTGCTGGATGGAGCTGGCTTTCCACAGATCTCTCTCCCAGGCTACATTCCTGGTGCATTTAAGTCCTTGCACCACATCTGATGTTTGAAGTGCCAAGGCACGGAGAGGCTCTCTGCCATGGAGAAGGGCTGTGATGGGCTCAGTTCAAGCTTCTCTGAGTGCTTCGGTGGTATCAGGCAAGATCTCTGGCTTTTCCTGATGACTGTACTTCCATCATCTTGCTCAGGTTCCATTGTGCACCTTGCCATCCCCTACACCTAGGACTTACCTTTTCTCTTCTCTGCCATCTCCCCCTCCCCGATCTTTGGTACCCACAGTGCGGCTCTGCAGAGTACATGGCCCCGGAAGTGGTAGAGGTCTTCAGGGATGAGGCCACTTTCTACGACAAGCGCTGTGACCTGTGGAGCCTGGGCGTGGTCCTGTACATCATGCTGAGTGGCTACCCACCCTTCGTGGGTCACTGTGGGGCTGACTGTGGCTGGGACCGGGGAGAGGTGTGCAGGGTGTGCCAGGTGAGCAGGGTCCGCATGGGTCAGTGGGGCTGAGGAATGCCAGGCAGGACTGGGCTGGTGATTGTTCCTTGTCGGGTAGGGGTTTATAGTGCCTCTTCCTCTTCAGGGCAGTCATGAGCTGACATCAGGCACTCGATTCAGCTAGAAGTTTGAGGGAGAGGGTTGGAGCTCATACTGGAGCAGACTCTGAAAGGATGAATGTTGGCTGGGGAAGAGAGACAGGAAATACGAGGAGGAACAGCACCATCAGAGACATAGAGACGTGAAACGAATGCACGTGTGCAGGCAGAGAGAGAAGTACGGTGTGGGTGATGGTGGTGGGAGACAAGGCTCTGGAGCTTGCCAGGAGCCAGGTCACGGAGCACCCTCTCCAAAGGACGGAGAAGCTGGGCTTTGTTCTATCCACATTACTCCTGACCCTTCACCCCTCCACCCTCCCACATAGCATAACTGTCCCAATTTGCCAAGGGAATTCTATACTCTGGTGGTATAAGGAGAAGTGGGGTGTCAGGAAAGCAACCATGTGGCATCCCCAAGCCATGAGCAACAGCTGCAGCTGAGGTCGGTTAGAACCAGGGTGATCAGAACAATGGCAGGTACACCCTGTGCACCCCCTGGCCAGTGTGGCCTCAGAAGGAATCTTCTTTACCTAGAACAAGCTGTTTGAGAGCATCCAGGAAGGCAAGTATGAGTTTCCTGACAAGGACTGGGCTCACATCTCCGATGAGGCCAAAGACCTCATCTCCAAGCTCCTGGTTCGAGATGCAAAGCAGAGACTCAGTGCTGCCCAAGTTCTACAGCACCCGTGGGTGCAGGGGGTGAGTGACACCAGGAAGGGGTGGTGTGCTACCTCTGCAGACCAGCAGCATGGCCACAAGGAAGCTGTCATACCAACAAGTAAAGAACACCAGAGGCAGCTGTGTCTTCAGTGTATCTTTCTTGCTCTCGTCTCAAAAAGTGACCCTGCAGACAAGCAGAGCCAAGTCCTTGCGCTGGGCAGAAAGCCTGTTCTCTGCCCCCTCTGTGCTGGCTTGGGTGGGGCAGCTATTGAAAGAGGGAGAGGTGCTTACACACAATCTGTCCTTCCATTCTAGCAAGCTCCAGAACGGGGACTCCCCACGCCGCAAGTCCTCCAGAGGTAAATGCTCCAACTACACCCAGTGCCTTCTTTCCTTGGCCCCGACTTTCCCTCCAGCCCTCAGCCACGTTGGGGTAGATGTGAGGCACAAAGAAACCATCTCCAGGCTCAAACTCCCTTCAGAGACGATCCTGTGCCCCTTCTCTATCCCTTCATACCTCCGAGCTCCCTTCCTGTCATTGTAGATCTCTCTTCCTGCACCTTGACTGCTTCCTCTGCCCTCCAGTGCCTTTGAGGCCCCTCCTTGTGTGTTTGCAGGGAAAAACCTTCCATAAGCACTTGCATCTCATTGAAAAATCATCATTTACAGCCCAAAGATAGACCTTATTAGTGGGTTATTCACACTGGGGTGTCCTGATGGCAGAGTTGGTGTAAGTAGTGGGTGATGGAGCACTGTAAGGCCGAGGGACCAGTTGTCAAATACACTACAAAACAGACAGGAGTGCCATCTTATATTTTCTGTCATTGACTGAAAGGTCCTTCTGCAGCAGCTGAGGATATTCAATTTTAAAGAGGTTTCCTATCAGCCCCATTTTGTAATGAGAAAACTGAGGAGTAGAGAGATCAAGATAACTGGTTCAGGGCTAGGGATTTAGCTCAGTGGTTCCACCACCTGCCTTGCAAACACAAGGTCCCGAGTTCAATCCCTGGTACCAAAAAAGATAACTTGTTCAAGGCTGCATAGTGGCCTTTGATTGTAAGAGTCTTTTAACGACCAGTTGCATATGTTTCTGACAGGCCCTACCCTATAAAGCCGAGCTAAGCTGTGTGGGAAGCCCCCTCAGGAGCCAGCCACATGGCCAGTTTTTAGAAGTTGCACAGGGAAGTCTCACCTGGCATGGTCTCGATTCTTTATCCTTGTGCTGCTGTCTGGGGCTACTTCCAGAGAGCTTCAAGCACCAAATCTCAGATCCTCCTCAGGTGATACATTTGATAAATTCAAAGCGCCCATCAGGCCTAGCTCTGGCCTAGGTTCTGGGGACACCGACATGAACAGCATAGCCTCTACTCCAGGAGCTCCCTTCCCTGCTTTGGGAGAGGGGACACAGTTGAGTTCAGTGCACCATGACCCTGCCTCTGGAATAGCTGTGTGTGGAGTGGTGCCACCCAGAGGAGGGGCCTCTGAGAGGAAGGCGGCATTCGCCCTGACTCTCCAGACTAGAGATTGTATTCGAGGCTTATTCCAGCCTCAGTCAAGCAAGAATCCCAAACCAGGAAAGAACTGCTTTGGAGAGAGCAGCCCACACAGCCCGAAATACAGTGGGAGTATGAAGCCCAGCTGTGAGTGGCGTGTTACAGAACCAGCCTGGCTAACCTGGGCTCCTGCCTCCCTCTCTACCTTTTCCTGCCCCTGCAGGAACAGTAGCACCATGGATCTGACACTGTTTGCAGCTGAAGCCATTGCTCTTAACCGCCAGCTGTCTCAGCATGAGGAGAATGAACTGGCCCAGGAGCCAGAGGCCCTGACTAAGGGGCTCGGCTCCATGAAGCTTTCTCCTCCCTCCAAGTCTCGCCTGGCCCGCCGGCGGGCTCTGACGCAAGCAGGCCGCAGTGGAGAGGCCGGAGCATGCCTGACCCCAGAAGAACTCTGAACCACTCCAGTCGTGTGCTCAGGCCTAGACATTGCCCCCTAGAAACCTGTGAGACCAGTCTGTGGAGCAGGCAGAGGGGTCTTGTCTCTGGCTCCAGTCAAGCTTAGAGATCTCCATCCACGAAGGCCCTGCAGTTCCCAGCCAAACCCCCATTTCCCCACAGTCCTTGTAGGAAAAAGCTTTTTCCAAAGGGGTTGTCTTTGAAAAGGGAAGCAGTCACCTGTCACTGCATAATTGCGAGCAGCAGGAGCATCTTTTTGCTGGGCTTCACCTGCTCACCTGCCTGCAGAGCCCCAGCCTGCTTTGGAAGCTACAGCTGGGGCCACAGCCTTCAGGGAGCCACCTTCGAGAAGCAGAAGCATCGTTTGACAGAGGCTACTGACTCTTGGGCCTCTTCTACCTTGCTCTGTCCTCTGGATGTCCTCCCTGCCTGTCCTCTCCCTTCCTGAGCAAACCCATCGCCTCCATACAGGAAGGGCAGGGGGCCCTTCTCCTTCAGGAGGCCAGATCAAGTCTTCCCTTCTGCGGCGCAGAGGAGCACATAATCTTTCTTCACTGTGACCAAGATGTGTTCCTCATTTATCATCCTCTTCCTTCTTTGTGATTGCTGCCAAAGTCAGTATTATTTTGGTTTTTAAAATGTTTTTAGCAGTGCTCTTTCAGCAAAGACGGAATTTTAAGATCCCCCCTTTAAGCCCATGGATTTTCCAAGGCAGGAAGGATGTCCATGTGCTTGGTTTTTAATTAGCTCTTCCCTGTAGTACTAACTGTTACCCTGATGAGCACTTTAGAGTCTGTCCGTGTCTGTTACTGCTGTGTCCCCAGGTGCTGTATGGAGGGTGGCACAGGTGGAAGGCAGTTAGATGGAGCTTGGTGCCTGAGGCAAAGCCAGATCAGAGGCAGGCCCACTGCCTGGGAGCACAGAAGGGCAGATAAGCTACTGAGTTATATAACAAAAATAAATTTGCTTATGTCAGACATATATTCACCTCAGCCACTACAGTGCTATCACATAATGTGCTTGTTTTAATAAAACTTCAGTTTTAGTTGTGGCCTACTTGGTGGTCCTTTTTTTTTTTCTTTCAAACCTGAGGAGACAGGCCTGCTGAACAGGGCCCGAGCCCAGATAGGTGGGAGCTCTTGTTGGGATCCCCAGATGTAGCAGCACACTTGATAGCACAAAAGCAATGGAGACATTGCTTTTCTGGGTTTAGATGAAGAAGAAATTCATTAAACACCATTTCTTCTGCAGGACTCAAAGAGGGGCAAAACACAGCCTCTGCTCTTCAGCAGCTACTTATCAAGAGATTGAGGTAGTGTTAGCAGCCATCACACAAGGAAACTTCAAAAGGCACTTTAATAGATGTCCCATACCCACCCCATGCAGGAACGAACTTCTTGCATGTCTAAAGCATTACTAAGCCTTTATGAAGGACCTGTTGTGTGCCTAGGACTACACTTTTCCTGCCAGAGTTGGCCACAAAGAAAAACAGGGCCTCCCATCTGTAGCCTCCATATACATTATCTGGTGCAATACATCCCAGAGTCAGTCTGAAGAGACCTAGGTGAGAAGGACCTTTGTAAGTTCCTAAGATGGTAAAGAGAGGTCTGAGGATCAGGGCATAGACTGGGTGCTGACCATAAATAGTGCTTTGCCCTGAGGAAAGCAGAGAGGACATGGGACTAGGCATTTCATTTCGTCATGGGCAGGCTACCAGCTGTCCCACACTATGAGTGCCTGCACATGTATGTGACATGTCTTGTTGACCTTTCCTTTGCAGTGATCCTTACCACCTTCATAACCCTGTATCTCTACCTGAAATGAGGTCAGACCGTAGAAGCTGAACCTCTCTGCCAAAAGGCTCCCAGAGGCTGAGGACCCAGAACCAGGAGAGGAGATCAGTGTCTGGACTTCAGCCCCAGCCTGATCACCCCAGACTGGGCCAACAGGAATGTGACTGGGGTCCTCCTGGCTCAAATATACTCCACCCGCAAACCCATCTCCTTCCCTGCTCACCCCCTCCCACTCTACCTCTCAGGCCTCTGCCATTGCTAAAGCTGGGTCTCCCACCTGCCTTCCCACCCCAGTCCCCATGGCAGGGCCCCTCTCCTACCCATGGCTCTGCTACCATGCCCGCTTTGGTTTTGTTAGCATTGGTGTGCACTAAGCAACCATGATTTCTAAGAAGTTTACAGACTATTTCTTATAGCAATCCCATGAGTTTGGTACCATTATTTTTTTTCCCACTTAGCATGAAAAACTAAGCCAAGAGAGGAAAAATCATTTGACCAGGACTATATATCGCTAGGAATGCTGCCTAGGTTCAAATCTCAGACCAGCAGCTTCCTGGCTTTGGGCCTTGGGTAAATTACTTAGTCTCTGAAAGTTTCTTCAGCTGTAAATAGAGATGAAAGTGCTAAGTTCTAGGTGCTGCTGTGAAAGTTACAAAGTAATAAATGTAAAATGTTAAGAGGAGTTCCTGGTCTACAGGGTAAGTGCTTCATACATGTCAGCTAGGCTAGTTTTAGTTCTGTTTGCTGTTGTATCCTGGGGCAGAAATATTCAACCCACAGTTCCAGTGATAAACGTGCCCTCTCCTTTGGCTCAGGGAGCCCACTGTGGAAGGGCTTGTGTGGTAATGTCGGCAGCCATTTTGAGATGATCCAGGCCTCAGGGCCTCTGTGGGATACTCTTGCTCACAGGCTGCTCTGCCCTTTCGGGCTGGAGTACCCTGTCCCAGAGAGGCATCTGTGGTGTCGGGGAAAGAACCTGTGGTTGAGGGGCCAAAGGCTTTGGATTCTAGTCCTGCCTCTGCCATAGGGGACCTAAGGAGACCTGGCAGAAGCAGATAAGACAGACGCGCTGAGGGAGGCTCTGGGATGGAGACCCCTATCAGCCACGGGACTTTCAGTGGTAGAAGCCAGTTTCCCAGAACCAGGACTCACAGTGGGTTGAGCCATAGGAGAGGGCTGGTCCCAGTGGCTAGAGTGTCTCACACCTCAGACCTCTTTCCTCAATTCCACTTAGCAGGCCTTGGCCTCAGCCCCAGTCCTGGTTCAATCAAAACCCTGAAGACTCCTTCCTGTCTGAGGGTTTGTGGCCACAGGGGCAATCGAGTCTCTCTGCCTCCATATGTCCACCTGTCTGAGCCCTGGGGCCCTGCCTCCCTTCTGTCCCACTCCCCTCACCAGACCCAAATCCACAAAGAGCAGTGCCTTGGTCCCATGCCAACTGCTCCAACTGCTTCAGGTCTGGAGGGGGCTCAGGAGCAAGGTCCCCCCAAAGGCTGACACTCTTGTTGCCATGGAAGCAGTTGCCTTGGAAGCGGCTTCTCTGACTTTAGCTTCTGAATGGCCCAGGAAAGCTGCCTGTCCCCTGAGGGACTGGTGAATTAATCATGCTCTTTTCCCTGGTTCTTACCCCTCAAGGGAAATAAGCAGAACCAAACCAAGCTGCAGCCTGTTCTCCCACTCTGCCTCCCCGTCCTCATGCCACACTTAGACTTGGTGCTTCTGCAAAGGAAAGCTCGCCTCACCGGGAGGTGAGGAGAGATTCTGTAGTGGACCCCTGAGCCCTGTTGTTCCAGGCTCCCTGGAGGAGGGCTCTGATGCTTGGACTGCTTGGGTGGTGGGGTCAGGGGACCCATGGGCTTAGGCAGTGATTCCTGGGCTCGCTTAACTGTAACTTCGAACGTATCACCAGGGACCAAAATATATTTTCTTTTTCGTGGATTACATAGCCTGTAATGAGAATTGGCAAGCCTCCCTCTCTACATTTGCAATCAGTGGAGGAGCAGGCATCACAACTAGTTCAGGAGCCCTTCATGACGTTTCCTGTTCAGAGAAGGACGTACTCCTTGACTAGTTCTTTTGACCAGTTTCTCCCTCTGAGGCTGGACGCTATGGCTCGGGTGTGGTTTGAGTGTGTTCCCCAAGGGTTCGTGTGTTAGCACCTGGGTCCTCAACGTGGCAGTGTTGGGAGGTGGTAGGAAGAAGTGGATCTATCGTATGGTAATTGGTCACTGGAGATACTGCCCTTGGACGGAATTAATGCTGACCTTGAGTGAGTGCGTTCTTGTGAGAGTGGGTTGTTACAGAGCAAGACCGCTTCTCCCCTGCTTCCTGACTTCCTATCTCACCAGTGCTCTCTTGTTCTCACACATGCTTCTCCCAACGTGATGCCATCCCCCAGGAGGCCCTCAACAGAAGCCAAATGGGTGGGGCGATCCAGCTTTGGACTTTCAGCCAACAAAACTATAAGCTAAATAAAGCTCTCCTTATAAAGCATCCAGCCACAGGTATTTTGTTACAACAGAAAATGGGCTAATATAGTAGAGCTGCCAATTCCTCTCACCTCATACTGTAGAAATTCAGGAGAGAGACATGCTAGAGAACTTCCCAGCTGAGCAGAAGGCCAGGTGCTACTGAGGTTCTGCTGAGGCGCTGGGAAAATTCCTCTGTCTTTCTACACTTGATCTTAGCCAAAGGTCGAGAAGGGATCTTCTGCCTTCCTGTCTTAGTTTCGCCATTTATTGCATGATGAAGCTGGGATTCTGGAGTTCAGACATGATAACTGATATTGGCTTCAGGCATCTGTCCTCCGCATTCCCCCCCTTAACTCTTTCTTTGCCCCGAGGGATTTACAATGTCAAAGAAAATTTCTAATTGGAATTCGTTCTCCAGTTTGGGGAGGTCAGGGTGCTCTAGAATCTGACTGATACTCATGGTGCACAGGTATTCCTGACCCTGCAACTGCACTGCAGCCTGGGTGCCCAGGGCACAGTGGGGAGCATGGCCCAGGAGGTTCTCTCTTGCTGTCTTGCATGGGAGACTCGGCCTTGGAGTGATGTGAACACTTAAAGGAGTTGGGGGTTGGGGATTTATGGAGGGTGCTCAGAGTCCCAAAGGAGGAACTCTAAGAAATGCATTTGCATGGGTATTTACTTTGGTGGCCCCTTCTAAACAGAGTCAGTTGGAGATCATTACATGTGACAGACACATGAGCTGTCATTTGATGCCTGATTAAATAACCAGACATCATCCCAACAAGAGGCGCAGGGGATACTGATGGGGTAGTGGAGACTAAGGAACATCTGGCTCCAGGGTCTTCCTCCTTATGGGGTCCTAAGAGGCCATCCATGCCCTGTGTCTTCCTCTTCTCTGGCTTCCTCTCCTCTGGCTTCGTGGAGGTGCCTTCCTACAGCTGAAGGTCCCATCAGGTGATACTGGGGCCTCCTTAGGCCCCCTCTCCACATCAAGGGAAGACTGTTGATAATAGACTGTTTCCCTTCTGCCCATAGCCTTCCACTTTTCTGACCCAAGGTAGTCATGCCGGCCAGACCTCCCTGAATTCTGACCTATGTCCCAAAGGGACATGTCAAAGAGCCAAATCCCTCTAGCCACAGCATCCTGTGGAAAGCAGAGAGGACAAAGACAGTTACGGCCTTCAGGTGGTGGGTCATCCACTGGCCCAGGTGTGAACAGGGCCACACAGAGTGCTGGGCATGCATGCCCTTCTGCAGACGGAGTACCATTCCAGCCAGCAGGGGGGTCAAACAGGCTCAGGGGAGGGAGGGCAGGACAGAGGAGGAGGGGAGCAGCTGTGGAGGCAAGGCTGAAACTGCAAACATGTTAAGAAGAGGGGGGGGCAGCCAAAAAGAGGCCCATAGGGTCAGTGACTGGGTCAAACAGGCTCAGGGGAGGGAGGGCAGGACAGAGGAGGAGGGGAGCAGCTGTGGAGGCAAAGCTGAAACTGCAAACATGTTAAGAAGAGGGGGGGCAGCCAAAAAGAGGCCCATAGGGTCAGTGAACTGACCCCAAGAAGAGTAATAGGACCTGGGGATGTGCCCAGGTGAGGGGCAGGCAGTATTCTGGAACAGTGAAGGTCCTGATCCATAAAAGGCCAGAGAATACAAGAAGGCTCAAATTAGAGTCTGGGTCAGGCACAGGGCTCAAGGATCAGGACTGGGTTGGGTTGGGTTACTGCTGCCCAGGGTCAGGTTGGCCAATCCTGCAAGTAGGTCAGTCAGGCTGGGTGGAGCTGCTGAGTCCAGGAGGCTAGAAAGTGACCCAGCTTCCTATTCCTGTCTTGTTGACATCCAGCACCCCTTCCAGTTTCTCTCCTTACCCGCCTCTACCACTGCTGCTTCCTGTCCACTCCCAGCCAGGGGAAGCAGGAAGGGCTCACTAAAGGGGGAGAGTAGCAACTCTTCCTAAGAAAGGGGTCCCCTAAATCAAGCCTCAAACTAGGACCCCTCAACCCTGCCTAGAACCCCAAAGATTGACAGGATGAAGGGGGCAGAGTAGTGACTTGGAGGGTTACTGCCCTGTCTTCTCCTCCTGATCCACTCACAGTTTCCTGTCTCCTGAGCCCTGTCTAGATCATCTTCCATGTCTCTGTCTCTAGGTCTCCAAACAGGAGCCTCAGGTGCGCCTGCAGGCCAAACGACAGAGGAAGTAGAGTGAGCATGTAACCAGGGGATTCCCTCACTCACATCCCTGATCTCTGACCCCATGTGAAGCCACCAGATCATTCTTCTTGCTTAGGAACCTACATTGGAACCTGCACTGACTGTCCATTGGGTCTCCAGGACCCAGGCAGTGGCTCACATTGCAACCTCATGAATAACTCAGCACCTCCTGCTGCCTGCACCTCAGAGGAACATGTGTCGCCTGGACCAGCACCCCACCCCGCCTCTTACTACTTTAAACTTTAATAGGCCTAGGCTCAGTAGCAATCGAGCAGGATCCAGAAAGCTAGGGCAGCATGTCCAGGGCAAGGCAGTTCCTGGTCCTGGAAAGAAGGGAGGATCCCATGGAGCAGGCTCAGCACCCTAGAACTCTGAAAGCCAAAGTAGAAATCTGGCCAGGCAAAAGTCCCAGGCGTGACCTCCAGCTTGAGTGCCCTTTGGGGAACTAAGAGTGAGCTGGGGTACCCAGGCCAAAGTGGGGCTGGGAACTCCTAGGAGAGCTATAGGATAAGTTTGTAGATAAACCCAAAGGTTAGCTGCCTAGACTCTTAAAATCTTACCCAGAAACTCCCACCCTGAAGGTGGAACTTCAACAAGGGGACATCCAAGAGGACAGAGACCTCTGGGACCAGATACAGGTGGTCTGGGTAGGCCTGCATGGACATCCCCATCAACAGCGGAGACTTCCACTTTCTGCAGCTGGCCTGTGTGGCCCTCGGCCTGGTGGCTGGCAGCATCATCATTGGCGTGTCCGTGTCCAAGGCCGCAGCTGCTGTGGGCGGTGTCTTCCTTGGTGCTGCTGGGCTGGGTGAGCAGGGGCTAGGCTGGGGTAGGGAGGAGGAGATTCTGGTGGGGAACCGGGGGTCTGCTCAGGTGAGCAGAAAATGGTGGGGTGAGCTGGATCCACAGGAATTGGCTGGGGAGAATGAAAGCTAGAAATTTGTGCAAGGTGGCCATGCAGGGTACAGAAGGGGAGAATTGAGGTGGAGCCCCCAGTTGAGGGGATGGGGTGGGGTGGGGTGAGAGTTGATTGCCACGTTCCTTTCTGGCTACCTGTGTCTGGCTCCACATCCCCAAGCCCTAGGCTCTTGGGTTTGTCCTGGTTACAGGTGGGATTCATCAGCCTGTTTGAGGTGGGTTGGTGGGGATAAGCAAAACAGCTCAACTCGGACAAAGGGTTTCCTTTGCTCAGCAGTACCACTGTCCATCTGTCTATATGAGGCAGGCCCACTGACATCTCCAGGGTGACACTGAATGTCATCTTTCACCCCACCCCATCACCCTGGGCCAAAAGCAGAGCATGGAGCCCCAAGCTGGTGGCTCTAGGCATCTGTACCCAGAATTCTGGCACAGTAGTTGGTTTCAGGGGGAGCAGGATTCAGGAGGGCAGAACCCACTCTGCACTCCAGGAGGGGAGAGGGAGGAGCATGCAGAGGAGCCACTGATTCCAGCCCTAGGGGTCCTAGGGGAGGGCAGGGTGATCTGATGGTATTGGTATCAGCCAGGCCTGATTCCAGCCAGCTAAAACAGCAATAAAGCCAACCTCCTCTTTACCTGGGCTAGATGAACCCAAGAGCCTGTGGCCTTGACAGTCTGTAGCCCTTGCCCCAGATAAGCACTGACCCCCAACCCAGGCTTGGGTGCTGGGGAGCTTCCCCATGCACTCACTGGCTCCCATTTACACACCCACAGTTCAATCCTGCACACTTGGGCTCTGCCCATGCACACCCAGATCACCGCCATAAACTGTTCTCCAGGCTCACAGCCCACCACAGCCTCTGCACCTCACATTAACCAGATCCTTTCACCATCACAGAACCCCTTTGTGTTTCTCTTTTCAGGTCTCCTCATCTTCGCCTACCCCTTCCTGAAGGCTCGGCTCAACCTGGACCACGTCCTGCCTTCAATAGGTGAGTCCTCTCCCTGAACCCCAGCAGAACCCTCTGCCAAGGACCCCTCGTGTGCAAGCACAACTGTGTGCGGAGTGAACCGATGTGTGAGACTGCTCTCGAAATGTCTGGTATAGCTGCTGTGCATGTGTATTGTGCAGGCGTCGCCATGACTACAGTGAGGCAGAATCCAGTCTGTTGCCTGCAAGAAAGGTGTCAGAAGCTAGGGAGCCCATCTTCCATGAAAGCTTTTCCATTCCTTCGCAGCCTCCCAGATAACCCCATCTCATCCTGAAGGCCCCATAAAGACCTTCTATCTCCACTAGAACCCCAGGATGCCTGAGCAGCTCCCACTTCATCTCAGCAATGCACATACAGCCTCCAAACTCCCTCGATCCTAAGGGTCTTTGCATGTTCCTAGTGCTTCCCAGGACCATAGCCTCCTTAAAACTTTGCCATTTCCTTCAATAACTTGTTTCTTCTGGCCCTCCCCAAACCAGCCCAGATCATGTGGTAGATTTAAAGGAATGTAGCGGAAAAGGACAGCAGGAAGGATGTTCTTTGCCAAGCTGGGCTTGATTTGGGAATGGCTCAGCAACCAGGCGTCTCATCCTGCAGGAGGCCTGAGAATCCACCCTAACCCAGGGCCAGACCATGGAGAGGGAAGATCCAACACCAATGGCAATAAAGAAGGTAAGTTCCATACTGGGGATTTAGCTCAGTGGTTCTGCTGCCTGCCTCTCAAGTGCAAGGACCCAAGTTCATTCCTGGCACCCCCCCCAAGAAAGAAAGAAAGAAAGAAAGAAAGAAAGAAAGAAAGAAAGAAAGAAAGAAAGAAAGAAAGAAAGAAAGAAAGAACAAAGTTGTTCCTGAAATTTTGGAGTCTTTCATCTCTCTTCCTTGGTCAGCAGCCTTGTGGGACCCTGTAAGGAAAACCTCAGGGGGCCATGCAGAGGGGCGTCCCCAGCTGGGGAAGCAGCATCACCAGCTAATTCTTCCCTATGCTCAAGCCCTTCTTGTTCGTCCTCGGGGCTCCACAATGGGGCGGGAGGCCCTCACTGTATCACCCTTGCTCAGGTCGAGTTGCCCTAGCTTATTTTCCCCATTCCCCTTTTGGTGGTGGAATCCAACTCTCAGAGCTGATACCTGAAACCAGGCATCTTCTCCTCCCTCCCCTCCCATCCCACACACACTGGAAAATCCCAGGGCAGGAGTGGCCCAAAGCCTGCAGACTCTGCCATGGTCTATACTCAGCAGAATATCCAGACACTGTCCAGAGCACTTTACATATATTAACTTGTTTAATTCTCACAACCATGTGAGGGAGGCACTGTACCCAGCTTCGGTTTCTATAAGGGGCAACAGTCCCAGGGAAATCAAGCAACAGGTTCCACAGCTAGGGAGTGTGGAACCAGCACTCAAGCTATCAGCAGCTCCAGAGTCCTGCCTCTCTTCACACTGTGCTGCACTTTTCTTGATGGGCCATCTTGTCCTTGCTGAACTGAAACTGCTCCCTAGGACTCACCTCTCCCCGTCTATCCCAGCTCTGCCCTTGGGTCACTGGGCACTGACCCAAGGTCCTTTTGGGTTTCTCTGCCCCCAACTACTCCATGGGGATCAGTCCCCAGGCAGCACATGTCCTGCTCTCTCCCCCAGGAGCCCGCAGCAGCCTGTCCACTGTGAGCAGGACCTTGGAGAAGTTGAAGCCAGGAGCTCGAGGGACCGAGGAAGGCTAAGGGGCTGCCCTGCTCACCCTTCCTGCCTGCTACCCCTGTCTCAGAGATGGAAACACCAGACCTGCATTCGCCTCCAGCCAAGCCTCTTCGGAAGAGATTCCACAGGCCTTGCTGCAGGCCCCATGGGGCTCCCTGATTTCCCTCATCACTTGGCTTTTCTTTCTGTACTGCAACTCAGCTTTGCTCCCTTTTTGATCTCCTGATTTATCTGGAATTTGAGGCCCAGAACCCCAACTACACCCAGTGAGGTTCCAGTCCCTTGCTTCATTCTGGCCACCGAAGATAACCACAGGCCCAGAGGAACCACAGACTGGGCCCCCAGCTGAATCCTCTACCCCCACCCCACCCACCCCAGCCTGGCTCTGAGTCTTTGAAGCTGGATGGTAGGAATGAGACCAGATTCCTTTCAAAACGGCAAGTCCTGGGCAATTCCTCAGGGATAGGCCTTGAGCAGCGGTGAATCAGAGAGGCCGTAGTTATGCTTGGAAGAGAGAGACTCAAAGAGGGACAAGACACGAACAAAATGATCACTACTATGACAGGAGTCAGGTGAGCCACTCACCTAGCATGGGATCAGAGAACATGACACGCCAGCTGAGCCCTGTCCTGGGATTCTTGCTGTTTGACTCCACCACTCCGGGCTTTGCACACTGTGGCTCCTCTCTCCCACCCTCCCCGCCCCTCCTTAACAAACTGAACACCTAGTGCTTCTGGGCCTTGGCTTTATCCTGAAGCCCTCCCTGTTCCCACTGCCTGTCAACCTTCTCCCTACTCAAAGTCCCCTAACCACAGACTCTTCCACCAGCCTGAGTCCTCCTTTCTTGACCCCTGCAGGCAGGCTCAAAGTCTTTTTCACAAAGCAATTATTATGTCTACTTACGCATAATGACTGTCTACTGAATGTTGTCCCTTTTCCAGTCCCTAGTACAGGACAGGACACTCACGGAGCATGAGTGCCTAAGTTTAGAGGAAAACCCATCCCCTAGGCTTTCCTGGAGAATCACACAGGGCACTCTCTGTCACAGGGCTCAGAGAGTGGAGGCCCAAGCCCTCCTTGCTCCTCTCTTGCACGTCCAGGTGTTGTGTGGCCTTCACAACATTGCTTGGCCCCTATAGGAACATCTGCTCTATGTGGCTTCTGTCATGGTTTGACCCAGACAAGCTGGGACAGACTCATTCTTCCAGGATCAATGCAGATGACTCTTGTTCTTCTTCTTGGAAGCATCCCCAGACTTCATTTGAGCTCCCAGAGCCCCCAGGCTTCCCTCTGCGTGGCTCTGGTCTATTTACCACCATCCCATCCACCCCCACCCCCGCCTTCAGAAGGGAGCTGAGGGTCAGGCACACAGAAGGCACCTAGTGAATATGGAGAAACCAAACCAAAAGTGTCAGAGCCCATCTCACTGTACAGATGGGAAAGCGGAGACCCCGCAGGAGCAACCACTGGTCCAGTCCCCCAGGGCAAGTCATGAGGCCAGGCTGTGCATTCAGATCTCCTCTCTCTCTCTCTGCACTCAAGGTTCTGTCCTCCACATAGACCACAGGGCCTAACTCCCTGACCACAGAGGGAGCCAATGAGAAGGAAATGAATTTTACAAGTGCTGGCCAGTGGAGATTAGTTCCTCTAGCCTAAGGGAGTCAGCTTCCTCCCTCCTTTAAACCCTTCCTCTCCACCTGTTCTCTGTCCCTTCTCCTTTCCCTCCTCCTTTTCTTCAACAGTATATCACGAGCACATAACTCAAGCTCCTCCTGATCAATGAGGCCTCCCACCTACCTTCAGTCCTTACCTCAGTGCCCCAAAGAGGCATTCAAGGGCAGAGGAGGCGGGAGTGGGGAATGTGAGCCTGAGCTGTGGGGAGAGCAACCTCCCCATCAGCCCTTCTCAGCCATGAGCTCCCCAAGGCAGGACCATGGTATCCCCAGGGGCTGGATTGGCCAGCTATAGAGAAGTGCTGGGGACAGGGTGGAATAAATTGAGGAATGAGCCCAGAATGGTGGTACACACCTGAAATCCAGCACTCTGAGAGGCTGAAGCAGGAGTATCACAAGTTCAGGCCCCGCCTGGGCAACTTAGCAAGACCTTGACTCAAAATTAAAACATAAGATAAAAATAAAGAGTGATCATATAAGATAGTAAAAGTGTCATTCATTGAGGAAGAACTGGGTTTAAAAGACCCTTAAAGCTAGATGGGAATTGTTGGGGCCTGGACCTCTGAGTCCTGTCTTTTCTCTCTTGTGGGTTTCTGAAATACGCTTCCCCACAGTACAGGTGAATATCCGGATACAGTCTCCCCAAGAGTATCTTCACCCCGAATCACAGAAGTGGGCCATGTGAGACCCCTGCCTTCTCTCCCCATCAGGTTTGGAGAAGTGGGGCAGTGGGGCCAACCTGGTGGGGCTGGCATGGTAGAGTGGCCATAAAACCCTCCGGTGACCCAGCACGGGCACGGTATATGGACAGGGACTTCCAGCAGTCTGTTCAGTAAAGGAAATCGGCTCTGTCCAGTAATCGTGATCCGACACCTGGGCCGGGCTGTGTCTAGCTAGGGCTGGGTGCTGGGAACACAACAGCGGACTAGATGTGGAAAGTGAGCAGAGACAGCCTCTTGGAGTCACACCTGTGCTGGGACAAACTGTAGGAGGACTGTTATGGTTTAGATGGTGAATGTCCCCCAAAGGCCTCATGTGCTCTTGGGATGGGCCTTTGGAAGGCAACATCGCTGATTTACTGTTAGGACTCAGGATCTGGTAGGAAGAAGCAGGTCACTGAGGGCCTGACCTGGAAGGGTGTCCCCCTGCCCCCACCAGTTCCTCCCTTCACGCTGGGTTCTTAGTCTCCAGTCTACGCGCAAGAGCAGCGCTTGCAGCCACCCAGGCCCTTCCGTGAGACGTTTTTGTGCTTAAGCCTATGAAATTGGACTGAAACTTTTGAACTCTGAGCCAAAATAAACCTCTCCTCCTTCAAAGTATAGGTGTCCGGTATTTCAGCCCAGCGATGAGAAGGTAACTAAAGGATTCCTCCAGCTGGGGCAAGGGGCAAGAAATAGAGGGCCTTGGTCTGCACATGGAAGCTGCCAGGGCCACTCAGGAGGAAGGGCCCCGGTCACAGGGACACCTAAGGGGTTTGTAAATAGAGGCGTGGCTGAACGAGAGGGGTGAGCTGAGAGACCCCCCGGGGGGAACTCCTCCTGGAAGCCAGCGCCTCAGGCTCTTCCCTACCCCCTAGGCATCCTTGCAACACAGTCCTGCCTGGAGCCAGCCCCCTGCCAGCACACCGTCCTACCCCTCGCCTAGGCTGCCGCAGGCTTGCTAGCTGCTCCCACAAATCCCACCCGGAGAGAGTCATCTCCATAGGGGCTCATAGCCACACCCCTTTCCAGGTTGCAGGATTGGAGGAGGTTGACTGGGGAAGGGGCGCTGACAGCAAGTCGTCCTTGGAAAAACTCTCCCTGCCCACACAGCGCTAGGTCCCTGCAGGGCGGACTGGGAATCGAGGGAAGCTGAAGGCAGGGCCAGGACCACCTGTAGCCCCCAACACCGCGCTGCTTGCGCTCTGCCCAGGCCGGGCTCCGGCGGAGCGCAGCCGAGACCGTGTGGGAGGGCAGGAATTATTTGCTGGGGAGCTTGCAAACCGCGGAACACAGAGGAGCTAAGGGGACCAGGAAGGCGGACCAGAGCTGGGGGCGGGAGGCACCTTCTGGGCACCCAGCCGTGGTGGGCAGCGGGCGCTGGGAGAGTGAGAGGCGGCGGGGCACAGTGTTCACCCCTCCTACCCACCACCACCGCGGGAGCCGATCCAAGGGAGCCGGCGGAGGGAGGCGGCGCCCACTCACCCAGTGCCCCTCTCCCGGCTCTGATCCGGGCTCTGCACACGGCTCGGCCCGGGCCCACAGCGCCGCACCCCCCGCACCGCGCCGCACTTGGCCCAGCTCCCGGGTTGGACGGCAAGGAGCTTCCACGCACAGCCTCAGGCAAGTCAAGGATACAGGAGTTCGGGGAGGCTATAGGGAGGCGGACGAGGAGAGGCCGCTTAATGAGTACAGCCCTGAGCTGGGGCGGGAGCGGGGGATCAGGGGTCAGTGCTAGACAGGGAACAGACCTATGCCCTTGAGAAAAGAGAGGTGAGAAAGACAAAGAGGGCGCAGCAGAAGGGGAGACGTGTCAGTGTCTGGCTGCCTTGGGCCCCCTCTGCTATGCCCTGATCTTTCCCCTCTTATGGAATTTGCTCTAGGACCCCTCTGCCCTCCACACTCTCCCCTAGACCCAAAGTGAGGCAGGAGGCAGAGGGAAGTAGGCAACAGACAACTTCAATCCAAGGGACAAAGGAAGCCAGGAAAGCAGCAGATGTGGGTGGCCCCTCTACTGATGCCTCCCTTCACTGTTAAGAGGCAGGGGCCCGAACTGGGGACACAGCAACAAGCTGTGCCAATCGGGGCACGCAGACCTGGACCCAGGAATCACATCAGGGTGTCCAGAGGGAGTCAGGAGTTTGGGCGCCATGAGTCGGGAAGTTACAAGACTGAAAGAAAAAAGCAGCGTCCACCTGCACTAGAAGGTAAAGCCCAGCCAGCTGAAGACTAAGCAGATCCAGGCTCAGGCACAGGGAGCTGACTTCCCACCACACCTGTGGTGCCCAGGGTGCCACCCCTGGCCTCACCTGTGCCACACCTGGTGAGCTCACCCCCACCCAAGCAGAATCAGGAGGGCTGCCTGGAGGAGCCAGAGCCAGGGAGCTGCAGTGGGGGCCAACAACAGGGCAGGAGCAGCAGCAAGACTGTGGGAAGGTTGGACTAGAGAGACACTTGGGAGGAGGACCTTCAGGACTCTGAGGTGGGCTGGAAATGGGCCGGGGAGCCTGTGGGAGAAGAGGGGACCAGGGCTGACCAAGGCTGTAGGTTGTGTGGGAGACGGCGACAGTGAAGGTGCCAGTCTCAGAGACAGTGTTTCCAGGAAGCAAGGCTCAGCAGGCCAAAGCTAAGGCCATGGGCTGAGCAGTGTTCATTAAACCCAACAACAACTAGAGGACCAGCGGCCTTGGTGAATGCAGAGGCAGGAGTACAATGGGACCCAAAGCAGAGTGGAGCAGAGGGTGATTGAGAAGGAGGAGACACATAAATATATATGGATCTAGCTCAGTGCAAAGGCCCTGGGTTCAATCCCCAGTGCCAAAAACTAAAAAGAAAAAAGAAGGAAAGGAAGGGGGGAAGGAGGGAGGGAGAGAGGGAAGAACACAGAGAGAAAGAGACAGAGACTAGAGAGTGTTACCTGTAGACCTCTGTGGGGTTGAAGGAGAGTCTTAGGATGGGACAGGCTTGGGAGTGTCTGAGAGTTGAGCACAGAAGAAGGTTTCCCAAGAGTCTCAAGGGCTCACCTGAAGCCAGAGCTGCAGATGCACAGAGGGCCCCATGCTGCCCCTGAGCTTTCTTCTCTGGCTGAGCTCAGCAGGTCAAGTGTAAACTCCTGACTGAGGCCAGGTGGAGTCTTTGCTGGGCATCTTTAGCAGAAGGGTAAAGGGCCATGTTAAGTGACAAGACTAAATGAAGTCAGTTAGTGTGGATCTCCAGTGAATAGGGTTAGAAAACAGTCACAGCAAGGGGAGGTGTGCATTCCTGGTAAAGAACACAGACTGGGGAAAAAAAAAAAAAAAAAACAAACTACAGAAGGCCGGGGATTTAGATCAATGGTTCCACCACCTGCCTTGCAAGCACAAGGACCCAAGTTCGATCCCTGGTACCAAAAACAAAAAAGAACACAGACTGGGCACACACAGAGCTGGGTTTGAGTCTCACCTATGCCATGTGTTACCACCATGTCTGTGACCATGGGCAAGTAATTTAACCTTTCTGAGTCTGTTTCCTTAGGGATGACAATAGTGTCTACCTCTTAGGCTTGTCATGGTATGTATAGAAGACTTACCTCTGAGCCTATTTTTCTGATGCTATAACAGAATACCTGAGACTGGATAAATTATAAAGCAAAGGAGTTTGTTTAGCTTACCATTCTGAGGACTAGAAAAGCTTACAGCAGGGTACTGGCATTTGCCTGTCTTCTAGTGACAGCTTGGTGCTGCTTCAAATCATGGCAGAAAGCAAAAGGGCAATCAGGTACACATAAAAGAGACAAAATGCAAGAAGCAAACTCAGTGTAGAAAAACCTGCTTCATAATGACTAATCCAGTCCCACAAGAGCAAGAACTCACCCTGTAAGAGTTGACCCTGTCCCGTGAGAAACACTTCTTCATGACCTGATCACCTTTTAAAGTTCCTGCCACACTGCCACAGAGATTTCCACTGAGTTTCAGAGGGAACAAACCATATTCAAACCATGGTACTAGGTGCTGTCTGGGTGTGTAGTGGGGGCATAGCCGAGAGCCAGACACCCAGGTTTGTCAGAAGTGGACCGATTCAGGCGGACAACGAGCTAATAGGGTGGGGGCCTGCAGGGTTGGTGGTAGCTGGGGCAGAATGGAGGAACTGGGCATTGGAGACAGGGCATCAAGGAACTAAGAGGCAGAGGGCCAAGTGATTGTGCACGTTGCTGCAGCCCCTCTGGGAAGGTAAGACTTGGGCTGGAGGGGAAGCAGTGAGTCTCAAAGCCTTGGCAGAAGGTGGACGGGAAGAGCAGTTCTACTGCAGGAGTCTGGCCCCACCCCTCCTGCCACCTGAGGCCAGAGATCCCATTCTCCCCATAGATGTGTCCCTGACTAATAGCCAATCTGAGAGCATCAGGAAGGGAGCAGAACACCCTAAGGCAGTGGGGTCATGTTGGCCCGATGGGTGCAGAAGTTGGTCTAATGGATGCAGCACTGTGATTGCAATAGAGAAGGCTGCAGAGCCCTGTGTCACTGGGGCCCACTAGAAGTCAGAGCCTGCAGAGACGGTGTAGACCAGACTCCAGTTTACCAGTAGCAACAGTGAAATAGCTCTTGAGGGGCACAGTAAGTGCTTGCTAGCTGGAGACACAAAGACTCACTGTAGATAGAAGGGTACCTTCAGAGCAACTGAAACAGAACACCTGTCCCCATTATTCCTCCCAGGGCTGCTGCTCTCAAGCA